ACGCTTAACCGACTGCGCCACCCAGGCGCCCCAAAAGTGTCATCTTTTAATCTGTCTGGACCTCGGGTTTTGTGTGTGGAGCCAGCTGGAAATCCAGTTACTTCTCTTCCATCAGCAGGTCCGACGGAGCACAGGGGCGTCCCCGTCACGTCAATGACACCACCTCTGGCTGTCACCGGTCAGCACAGTCGAGGCCTGTTCCGAGCCTGGCTCAGCCAATGCCTGTCCGCTACCTGTTGGTGTAGCTTTGTGACATCACTCGGTAATAATCTCCTGTTTCTTTACTTCTGATTTCCCCACATGCTCTGTTACTGGAGTCGCTTCCCTGGGAATGTTAGAATAAGCGAGCCGAGGTCCGGCGGGCCCCACGTGGGGTTCTGACGCCCAGTTTCTGTCTTGTTGCGTCCGCAACTCAGCAATGTAGGGACCTTTCCAAAATGAGGCAAACTGAGGGATAATCAGGGCTGGCTGAAATTATTGTCACTACAGAACTACTTTTAAGGTCTAAAAAAAGTACCGTGTATGAAAAAGTACACACAGGGGCGCCTGGGTGGCTCAGGCGCTTGAACGTCTGACTTCCGCTCAGGTCATGATCCCGTGGTTCGTGAGTTTGAGCCCCGAGTCGGACTCTGTGCTGACGGCATGGAGCCTGCTTCTCCCCCACTCATGCTCTCTCTCACAAATAAATATTTGAAATATATATATTCATATATAAAAAAAGTACATACAACAGGGCGGCCGGATGGCTCAGTCAGTAAAGCATGAGACTCTTGATCTAGGGGTTGTGAGTTTGAGCCCCACATTGGGTTGCAGAGACCACTTAAAAAATAAAAACTTTAAAAACGTACATGCTCTAAATCTAAATCACACTTACAAGGACATCAGAAAAACTCAGGTGCGAGCATCGTCTCCTGGACAGAGGCGTCCACTGGCTGGATGCTGCCAGACGGGGACCCTGCCCCCCTCCCCGCGCCACAGGGGCTCCCCGGAGACCTACAGTCTCAGCCCGTTTGCTGAGCCTTTTGTGCCGCAGCTAAGGTCTCCCTACGGCCATGCCATGTGGTGTCACGTGTGGGCTTCGCAGGGCACGTGTGAGCAGGTTGTGAGGACACAGGCGACGTGCGTGTGTGTCCACTTTGTTTTCCCCTCTAGCACCCCTTCCTCCCCCAAGAGCGGGAAACTCCTCTTTGGGGAACTCCCATCCTGGCAGGTGTTCTTGGTGTGACCAGGGGGTAGAGCTGGTCACTGTCTCAGGACCCTGCCCTCCCCAGATATAGGCAAGGGGCCAAGTGGGGTCCCGTAGATCCTCTCTTCCTTGGTTGGGGCAGACTGACCAGGCACAGTGGCAATCTCACTGCCCCCGAGTCGCCGGGGTCAGTCCTCCCTGACTTCTGGGGCTTGGTCTTCGGGGCCTGCCCTGACCCAGCGGCCCCTGACCTCACACTTGGTCCCAGGGCCACACTGGCAGAGGCTCCTGGGTCCCAGTGCGCCTGCACATTTCTGTCTGGTGTTTTGGCCAAGGCAGGGCTGGCGAGGGCTGTCAGGATTGCCGCGCAGGGTGAGGGGCTGTGCCACCTGCCTGGTGGCCGCAGCACAGCGGGGGACTGTCGCCAGGAGAGCAGCTTCCCCTCGGGCTGCTGCAGAGAACGCTCGGGTGATGTCCCTGGGACCCATCTGGGAACAAAGGATGAGTGTAAGCCGGCAGCTGCCTCCCCCCACCTCGGTGGTACCTGGAGGTGTTTGAGGGGACCCCCATGCAGACTCTCCTCTGGGTCCTCCCATCCACCCGCTGATCCCTGTCCTAATGTCCTGGGCAGGACACGCAGCCTGCCTGTCACATCACCCCACTCCAGGCCACCAAACTGCCCACTTGTGTGACATCTTCCAGCCACACCCTGCCAGCCCGGGGGCGGGTGGGGAACCAGCTACTCCCACACTGTCCACAGCACCACCGAGCTCTACACTAGGTGAAGGGATCCTGTGCTCCCAGCCCACTGCCCTGGCCTCAGCAGCTCCCCATGCCCTAGGGGCTGCCATTTGCCACCCCCTGCTGTCTGGTTCAGGGCCTGCAGGACTCACAAGTGCCTGGGGTCTAAGTCTCCAGACCCCACCCGGCCCAGCCTCAGCCAAAGAAAAACCAGGAGCTGAGGGGTCCGAGCCCAGCTGGGAAGAGGGGTGCATCTGGGGCCAGAGACATGAGTCACCTGGCGGGCGGCCTGGCCGGCAGGGCTGCCCATGACACACCCACCCTGAGAGAGAGGCCAGTCCCAAGTCTCCTGAGGTCCACCCAGTGGTTGGGCTGGGCTAATGGGGGTGGGGGGCGAGGGGGGCTTGTAAGTTTGGAGGGTGTTCTCAGGAGGGGAGTGCTGGGCAAACGGTGCATCTGGTGCCCATGGGCTTCGAGGGACAGTTAGGAGTCTGACAGACAAAGAGGAACTCTAGCATTTCAAAGGGAGGCCTAGCCGGTGCAAAGGCACTCAGGACAAGGCTCAGACATGCTCTGAGAATGAGGAAGTCGCCAAGGAAGGAAGGAGGGGAGACTGGAGGTCCTGAGGCATCGGTCAGCCCGCCTGCTGGAAGGTCCTCCAGGAATGGCTCCTCACGCACCCACCCTTCCTCCATCTGGGGCAGTTTCCACGGACAGGAAGGAAAGGACAAATCGTTTTCCTCGTGCGTGACGACAGGTCATGTGATCCCTGCACCTTGTGTTTCAGGATCCCTGAACAAAAAGCAAAACCCCGGGTTCCAGGGTATCCCTACACCTCCAGCAGAGCCTCTGTGCTCAGTCCCCAAGCACCCCTCCAACCTTACCTGCCCCACCTGAGCAGTCACTATTGGAGGACGAGGTTCCCAAACAGCTTGTAGACGATGCCCCAGAACTCCACGCCCATGAGCCCCACACCCCGAGACCTTATGTGTGACTCTGGGCAAAGGCCTAGGGAAGAGTCTCAGCAGGATGGAAATGGGAGGTGCTCCCTCCACGGGGCCCTAGAGGGGGAGGCCCTTCCCCTTGGGCCTGGATCCTTCCCAGGAGACAGTCATCCAGATGTGGGCCGCTGGCTGCAGACCCGTCTGGTCCGCCGAGGCCCTCCTGTGCTCCACTCCTGGGAGGAAGGGTTACCTGCCAGTCTTTCCCTCTGCAGCAGCCCCAATCACGCCCAAAGCAGGACCTGAGTAGCACCCTCTCCTCGCCTGCTGGAGGTGAGGGGGTCTAAGGGGCAGGGAGGCTGACCCACTGGAATGGGAACCCACTCAGGAAGTAGGCAGATGAGCCAGCACAGCTGGGTGTGTGCAGAGGGCAAGAGACCACAAGCCCACCTGGGGGGCACCCCCACCTCGGGCTCACCCCAGTCACCATGACGGGGCCTCAGGCGTCATCCTGTCCAGGTCCTTACTGTCCACAGGGACATACACCGAGTGGCAGGCTGCTGCCAGACCCGGAATGAGGCTCCTGGTTGGCAAGGCCCCATATCAGCACACCCGTCCCTGTGCAGGCTGCCCACCCCAACTCCACATGCCACAGGGGACCCAGACCCTTACAGGTGCCTGTGCTGGGAGCCGCTGAGGGGCCCAAGCACGCCGCCCTGGACTGGGGTCAGGGTCATGCACATGTGCGAGAGCAAGAGCGCACATACGGGGGACGTGGACTAGGTGTGCTCCGCCTGCTGGGGTGGGTGGTTCCAGCCGGCAGGCATCGTGCAAGGGCCGGGGTGTGCAGTGGGGCGCACGCTGGTGCACACACGTGCATACAACAGCCTTGCTGCACGGTGTCACAGCCAGGCTTCCTTTTCCATCCTCTTAGCGACGGAGACGACCAAAGTGGCTTAATGAGCCTGTGATGCAGGAGGAGGTGGGTGCTAGGGCTGCCCTGGGGTGGGGGTGG